ATGGCATGAAACTTTCATTCCATTTGTAATTTTAATAGCATGTCAACCTAACCCTCATACTACATATAACACAAAAAACTTTTATGCAAGACTTTACCTATTGTCCTCCTGAGAGTGGGAGTATCTGAACTTCCTACGCATCACATTTCCCAAAGATAGAAAATTGGGTTCCTTTAATTTGAACTGCAGGCATCAGTCTTTCCTGCAGAAAAATGGGTCATTAGTCAGACATTCTGCTATTACCTTTCAAGTTCCCAGAGATGAGCTCTGCCTCTGAAACCTAATGTCTGAAGAACCAACTTCATTAGCCAATAGCACTGGATGCTGATGTGGCCTCTCACTAATTTCATATTCAATTCAATTTATTTTTATATAGCGCCTTTCCCAACAGGGTCACCCTTTTACAGGGGTGTGTTGTGATACATTACATCATTAAGGCAGAATAATACAAAAACCTATGCACCCTTAATGATTTTGCTCTGGACCCACACTGCTGCGGTCATCTTCTCCTCAATTGTTGAGCAGTTCTTGGAGTAGCAATGAATAAAACAGCTTGCTGACTTTGAATCAGATATATATTCAGGCAGAATAAATTGGGCTCTAGATGTAGAAAAGGTGATCTAGTCTTAGGAGTCCTTCTGCAATTCTATGCCAAGAAAGAGCATCCTAATCGTAAGAAGTAGGAATGTCTATTTGCCTAAGTATTGGATCTTGTTTGATAATAGAGAAGGCTGATGGGGAAAATGGAAAGCCTTGTCCAAAGTAACATACAACTGAGGCAAATAGCCCTCATACTGTACCTTTGACCTAACTGTTCTTTCAGTGTTGGATCAAAAAAGAGTGAGGTCTCTTTTATATAATTATAAATTTGTTACTTCAAAGATGGTATTGATTTTCTACATTGATTTCACATAATATTCCACTGTTGGATGATGTATCCATTAGACAGAGATACAGACACATACCACTTTTGGACTATGATGCTGTAAATGCCCACCTGTATCAACATGGTAGTGTAATGCTGCTGGCCCCACAGAAATCTGTGGTTCTGGATCCTTTGGGTCTGCAGTGTTATTCACCGCTGTAAATTCAGCTATAGAGAGACTGAACATGCACCCACTCATATATCTGCTGGATCAATCTCAGCCCCCACTGAGCAAGGAGTGGCCCACAAACAGGCACCTGCAAACCCCTCCTTGCCTTCCCCCCTCTCCCCTTGCCCATTTGTCCTTTGACTGAGTTCACACAAAGTCCACAAAATCCACATAGAATGAGACAAGTACCTGACTGAGAATCCGGACATTACTTTATGATGCTAAGGATAAGGGACTGTGGATTGAAAGCCAGAATGTCTGCTGCTTGGGATGGTGTGAGACAAAATTAAAGAGTAGCAGTCAGACAGACACTCTGAATATGCACATCGCAAAGCCAGGTCAGTCATTTCAAGTTTGAGAATTTTAAATTGGATTTATTTGTTTGTGTACCTGGTATAGTAGTTTTGAAGTACTACTAACTAATGAATTTGGCAATGGCTAATTCCATCAAATACTAGAATCTTTGGTTGCATCTATTTAGAATTATACTTTTGCAGTCTTAACAAGATAATTGTGGTTCTTAAACGATGTGAGCTATATTATCCAGGTGGTGGGGCTAGAGAGTATGTTAAGCTGGGTGCTAAATTAAATATTGTGTTAATGAGGGATTGCTGTGTGAATGAGAGTAATTCATGCAGCATGGAGTCTAACATGCGCATCAGAAATATAGCTAAATATAGCTAATTCCCATTTCAGACCATTGTTTACTGATTAATGGTTAAGATATTTGTTGCAAGTAAACCATTTCTCATAATAAAATACCCCATTTTGTTTTTCTTCCCTGAGTGGGCTGATTTAATTAATGTAGTGACAGTGGGCAAGCTACCTAGGTATCAAGTAGCCTGTGTTGTCCAAGAACATTACGGTATTGATTGATTAGCATCTGCAGCCAGACCACTCTCACACTTACTGTGTGTATACTGTACTGGGTATGAATTTCTTTGACTCTTTGTATTGTTTTGTACATGTGCAATATAGTTGTGTTATATAACTAAGTGGTAACTCTGTGCTTTGGTTTGAGTTGTAACTGATGTGTATTGTTCTTACCCAGCAATTACCTTGTGTTTATTAATTGTATATCTTGAATGTCTGTCTTGGTACTTGGATTATTGCAATTCCTGGCCAGGATTACTACACACTATAGCATAAGTATTGTGGATTACAATCTAATGACTTAGACAAACTTCCAGTCACTGAATTAGACTGACCTAACAAACCAAACTTGAGCTGAACCAGTGTGACATGCTGAATTTGTGCAAGTCCCTCAGCTGACTTGAATCAAATGACATTGTGAAGCCTCTGAGCTGGATTGACAAAACAAGTTGAAATTGTGGTAGTTTATAGCTGCCCTGCAATCCCTGAACCAGAATCAAACTAGTTTCACATAAGCAGCTAAGAACAAATCCTTTTCAGTATCACAGTCTGTAAGCTGGGTGGGTATAATTTTTTTGTTTTTCATTATAGATTACCGTAATATCCGGACTATAAGCCACTACTATTTTCACTTGCTTTGGACCCTGCGGCTTATACAACGGTGCGGCTTATCTATGGATTTTTACAGCTAACGGTCACCAGGGGCGCACTATCAAGGAAGCGCAAAAGTGAGACAGACAGTTCGCGCCAAGGAAGTGTTCATGCACACACCCTCATTATGGAAAACAAACGGAGAAGCCGTGTTACTGCACCTTTACTGCCGTGTTACAGGCAAGCACTTTTAAAAACGAATTTAATTTAGCAATTTAACGTTATTGCCTCGTCAAGCGCTGTAAGCTTTGTTTTTTGTTATACTGCACTACTACGGTACTATGACTGCAGGACGTGCCCTGGGAGAGCACCATTGTATTATTTGTGCACTGCACGAATGCTGTTCGTCATGTCAAAGATGTGAAAGTTTGATTGATTGATTGAAAGATTTAATGTGTTTCTCAAATGTTAATAAATGGGACGCTTTGCGTTCCCAAACAGTCATCTCTGTCCCGACAATCTCCTCCGTGGTAGCAGGAACCCTTATATACGGTAATTAAACATTAAAACACCTGCGGCTTATAGTTGGGTGTGGCTTATATATGGAACAATCTGTATTTTCCCCAAATTTAGCTGGCGCGGCTTATATTCAGGTGCACCTTATAGTCCGGAAATTACGGTATTTGAATTTAAGTGGGTGCCATTTGGACTGTGCAATGCCCCTGGTTTTTTCCAGTGACTGGTGTTTGGAGATTTGGGGTCTATATCACAAAGCAAGTCCTCGCTTAGCCAGATAACTTGTTGGATTTAAGGTAATATGGGCTGAATGTAAGTGAACAAAAATAAAGTCCATTTAAACTGGGGCACCTTAATTTCAACAAGTTATCCGGCTAAGCAAGAAGTCCAGCTTTGTTACAAAGGTCCCTAAACTATCAGGATGTACTTTTATGACATTGTCATTTTTTCATCTCGTGTGGTGGGCCACTTGGATCTGATACTTAGCACACACCAGGGAAACTCAGAAAAGTTCAGGAAGTATCATGTTTAGACCATGTAATTATTAATGACGTGATTTCTACTAACCCAATCAAATAGTGGTGTTACATTCATATATGAGGGTGTGTATACAGTATCTCTCCATCTCTCTTTAGATCCCATTTCAATTCCGCCATCCAGCCAAGCCAGTAGTGGCTGTCCATTATTTTCCACGTATGAATTGTTTCTCTTTGTTTTTTGGTTAGTGAGGGAGTGAAGGTGGCAATTGTCTTTTGTTTTCTTTTCTTTAGGTTTAGGGAAGTCTTAACTGGTGCTTACGTAGGTAGTTCACTTGATTTGTTTATTGTTTTAGCCTTTGCCACTCCTGAGGTTCATCCTGGTGTTTCACATACTATATCAAAATATACTCTAAATATATCAGATCTTAACTATAGCTATACTGTCAGTCATTTCTTTTTCCATCCCATTCTCCTTTCTCCCTCCCCGTCCCCTGTTGTTCCCCCTGTTTACGACCTTAGACTGGGACGTAACAGTGGCTATCGCTAATTGGCCCCACCCCACAGCTGTCTCAGAAATTAGGTCCTTTTCGGGATTTTCTAGCTATTATTGGAAAATGTGTGATCTTATGTATAAAATTCAAGGGTTTACATAACCACCAACTGGTATAACTTATATAAGAACATAAGAACATAAGAACTATACAAACGAGAGGAGGCCATTCGGCCCATCGAGCTCGCTTGGGGAGAAAAGTATCTTGTGACTGGAGTCCATTTTATAATAAATGAATCTTGTCTTGTTATGGTTTGCATAAACGGTAGCACTTACTTGCTATTGAGCTCAGGGCTATGGCAGGAGAATCTGTCCTGCAGATACTCCCCTATTGAGGGTGTAGTGTATGTGAGCTGTTGAAAAAGGTGTCTACTTACCAGTAAAAGTAGCCTAGTTAAGTACAAGGGTCTGCAGTATAACAGTTTTAGGAGGCCCTAGGTTTCTCCACAACCATGACTATGCGCTGGGACATTGTCATTCCCCATTCCAACTTCCCAGATCTCAGTAGATACTAGGTTTGTTCTTCTTTATATGGCATTCCATCAAGTTTCAAGTTTATATATGAAAAGAATGCCTTTGAAAGCAATAAACCTCTAATTGATGCACCAGCCAGCTGTCTACATACGTAGTTATTAGACTCAGTTCCAGAGCCGGCTTGTCTATGTTGGGCTTTTTTAGATGGTCTTCCAACAACTTCAGGGACCACTTTTACTGATATATATTTCAATTCTGTACAGAAAGTGAAGTGTTTTATTTCTGACAGTTATCCAACTCGGAAGAGTAGTAATTTATTAACATATATATTTTTAAATTATCCAGCTATTCTTCTTTTTACTTACTCTTATTTGCTTTATTGCATGGCAGAACAGTGTGTAATTAAGCACAAAGAAAATTCACTGAGGTACAAATATTTTTAAAGAAATCATCAAGCATATGCATGTTAGAAAGCTTATAGAGTTCTAAACAGTTACAGAGTTCTAGAGTTCTGTTTACATTTTTTACAAGTTAATCTATTCCGGATAACATTCTTTTTCACATTTTACCATTCCATCAGACATACAGCAAAGCAACAATGGGTATAACACAATGGGGAACATCTGAGGCTGCTGTGGCTAATAATTAATAGCATATGTTAAAATTGGATAACCCTAAAAAGTTCTGAATTTAAGTCAATGAGCAGTAATTCTTTTTCTAATTGAAGGGTCCCAAGTTCACTCAATGGCTATCATAGGCATTCCATATTCTTGCTGCGGTATATGATTCCACCAGATACAGACAGACTTATGCAGATACAGATTACGTCAAATGAAGCCCAGTGAAGACATTCAACAAAATGCGACAAGCTTAATCCTTGTAATCAAGGATTTAAATTGCCATGGCTATAGCTTCTGGAAAATTAATTAGGTGCCTGGTGTTCAAATTTTTCCACCAAAAAGAATCATAGGTCTGTTCCAGCTGTAACAGATTAGACTGCATAAATTGTGAAATAGGACAGAGTATCTCATTTTTGTGCTGAATACAGTGCTATAGGGTTCCAACATTTATTGTCAATAAAAGCTGTAGCAGAGTTACAGTGATTAAAAATGTGCAAAGATTTCCTCAGCAAAATATACTGTCATCATACAGGGTCATTTGGCAGAAACAGCTTTCTGTTATACCTAAAACATGATAGCAATAGTACCATTTGCAGTATAGTTGTTGTCTTTTTAATAAGATTTTGAACTGCACTTTGAAAAGCATTGCTCTGTTGGTTTATATTATTGTTTGATTCTCAGTGCATCCTGTTCAGTGTCAGGTAACATGTGAAGGGAATTGCATATTTTATATATAACACTTTAGTGTAATCTATGTTTATTTTGTCTCATTAAATATAATTTTAAAGTACATGAATTTTATATTTTATAAATATTGTTTGGTCCCCTCTTACATGCAACCATATTTCCCCAAGGTAGTCATGTTTTTCCACAATGGCCCTTGTAGGAAATCAATGCTAGTCAAAGTCAGTTTCAAGAAAGATTGTGTTTAAACCTTTTTGCGTGTCGTTAAGTTCAATACAGAAAGAAAAACATACCACAGTCAAGATGAATCCATTCCTAATCCAAATTACTATCCCTAATGCAGTTTCCCCACTATCATGATGAGTATGACCAAGGCTCAACAAGGGTGGACTTGTTTTTGACACTACAATCACGTTTCCAGACTAAGGTGATGACGTATTAAAAAGGCTGTCACAGGGCTTGCCAAGTCAAAATTCTTGGTTTTTTGGCTTTTTGTCTTTTCTGAAATGCTAACAAATCTCACAGCATAAACTTAAAATACCATTAAGTAAATACCATAACAATCAGTCTTCAAATGCTCAAACACCAGCTAGATTATGAAGTATTAGATAAATGTTTAAAAATGTTTGGGCTTGTATCATTTAATGACACAAGATTTTTAAATTCATCAATAATCACACAACATTTAAAGAAAACTAGACCTTTTTGAAAAATCAAAATAGCCCCAATCAAGGTGGCCTCGGGTAATGATATGGAGCAGGGCAATTGTATGTCACATAAAAAGAATCAGAAACAACTTCTTGGTACATTCTGGTACAGTCAGATAGTGGAAAAATCTCACAAGTTACTCTTAACAACCTGAAAATAAGAACAACGTATATCAGCATAATCAATCAAGCATTGATAGTCAAATGTTTCATGTAAGCAAAGAAAAAATTAGCGTGATCTTCAGCTTCTATTTTGTATGCTTTGATTCATTTTAAAAATCACATTGTTATAATGTGGATCAGAGTTTGTAAGACATTCATTGCAGAAAAAACAAATTATTTTAGAATGTTCCTTATAGATATGATGCTTTCGAGTGCTGACTTGACATTGTAAATTCAAGAATAGAACGATAAAGCACAAACATTTTTACATATTATCTGAAATAACATGTTCTTAATATCCACAGTGTAAACTTGCATGTATTTAGAATATTTCACATACAAAATATTGTAAGTAAACAAATATAATGCAAAGTATACCTGCAGTACTTCAGACAATTTTACTTCAAAATGTAAGTTTAACAGTTACAGAACACACATCACATGCAATCAGAATCAATTTTGTTTTTTTTTTCGTCTTTTTTTTGGCCTCGGGCTACAACTTACCACCAAAGACTAATTAAGTACACTTCAGGAGAAGGTGCCTTATCCCTCATACTGTACAGGATATGTTTAAGTCGGATTAAACTGCATGTAGATGTGCCAGATGTGCCTTTAGGATGAATATAATTCAAACACGAAGCCACAAAATGTAAAATAGCTAATTATATGTCACACTGAAAATAATTAAAGTGATGCAGAATGGAAAATGTGCCTTAAAACACTACAGGAAGGTTGTCGTGTGTTGTTTTATTTATATTCTTGAAATATTCTGTAAATAAATTTAAGACCTTCATCACTCCTTCAAAACTGTGTTAGTAACAGCAATTTAATAATAATCATGATCCAAATTCTCCATTACTGGCCATTGAAGATTTTTAACATTCTAAGTAAAATGTAATACATTTTGAGTAATCTTAAATCATTATGGAATGTGAAATCATTAATGAAAAATATAAAATGTAAAATTCTGGAAGAATGTAGGAACTGCATAACTTAATAAAACCACTGAACTGAAAATCTCACTATCCATTAAGTCGTGTAGAAGTTTTAAATGTATAAAAATACAAAACAGTAGTGGCGAGGCTTTATGGTTACACAATCACTGCTTGTTAATTGGATACAGGAGATAAATTGTCATCACCTAGCTAAATGTAATTTGAACAAAACTTTTTATTCACAGCCCTGGGAAAGCTTGCAAGACATACAACTTAATGTGCTTTATGATTGTGTACATAATTACATGGACAGAATGATACTATATTCAATTTTGCAAATTAGGAAATTGAATTTAAAAATTAATGTTTTGAAATTTTGTTGTTCCTTGTTTACCAAAAGAATAGTGATGTATTAACAACTCCATAAGGTCATAGAAAACCGACTGCCTCACTAAAATATCTCTACTGCAGCATTAGAATTGCCTTTATCATTTAAGTTTATTTGAATGAATTGTGAGTAAATAAACTGCTACAAATATAATGATTATATGTTATACTTTTTATTGAAATATTAAATTAACTTTTTTAAAATAGTAAACCTTTTTTATCATGCTTTTTATAATTCTGTATTTGATTGTTTTGATTATTACAGCCTAGATCCTGTTGTTTGGGGTTGTTTCAATATTTGCATGGCAACTAGTTAACATACACTAGTTCACATACACATAGAAGTAGTGGCTCTCCCCGTTGTGTTAGCAATGAGGAGGGGTGACCGGCGTCGGAAGGCTCTCCACAGTGATTTTCTTTTGTTAAAGCTGGCCGAGGGAGAAAGGGATTAAAAAAGACGCAAAAAGAGACAGAAAATCAAACAACTGAAGAAACGTAGTAAAAAGTTGTGCATCAGCTCTTCTCTTCTTCACTCATCTGTGTTCCAAGCATCCTTGGATTATCCTGTAAACACAGAACAGAAACCTTTTCTGGGCAGGCTCAAATAGTACATTACTGTACAATGGAACTAGAACATCAGAAGTAATTGAAATACATATACAGGGCATAGATACTTACTTCTCATACTAATCCTGCAGCAGAAAACAGAAATACTGCGGTTACATACATCATTTTTGTCAGTAGACTAATGGTTAATATGAAATAACATCACTGAACTTATTTTTAAGGTTAATGTAATATCATCGCAGCACTGATAATATGACAGACCCAACCTATGTTATCATCTTGATCTTCACTCTCGTCGTCACTAACGACCAGTTTGGCACTGGCCCGGTTTTGATGTTTTTTGTCCTTGTCGTGGTCACTTTCATCAGGTTTTATATTCACCTTCATAGCTTTTGCTGAAAAATTAAATTTCAAATTTCAATTGTTTTGCACCAAAAATGTACTAAATAAACCCCTGGTTAAGTTAAGGCTTGGTATCAGTTCCAGGCAGTACATACATTCTAATGCATTATAACACAAGAGCACAGCTAATGATAAAATCGGTGGGGATTTTTTTTGGATTGTATTTGCACTATCAAATAACAGTGCAATATTTGTTAATAAATGGGCTACCTAAGAAGCTGTGTACTTTTTGGAGTATTCATCAATGGAAATGACAGGTGTTCATGGCATTCTGCGACACTGACATGGTGAGATGACATGATATTTCCAAACTGTAACAAACTAGAGGAATCGACTTACAATCAGGCTCCTCTTCATCGTCATCAGCTGCGCTCTCATCTTTGTTCTCCACTTCACTCGTTATCTTCTGCCTGGCACTCCGAAACACTGACTGGAGGACAATTGAGTCCTCATAGACCTGCAAATTTAAAAAAACCATCGCACCTAATTTCAATGACTAAGACAACTCGGCATTAGGGTCCAATTCCTGTCCCTGCCATTGTTAGGTGATCATTCAATTTTCTCCAGTTTAGATGGGCTGATGTCTGTCAGTTGTGAGTGTGTATATTTACCACTGCTGATGAGATGTACCAGCAGGAACAAGTTAAAACACGTTTTTCTCAGATCACTTACATTGCAAATGTCATATTGCTGTGGCTACTGTACATTATATAAGTAGTGATACTGCTTTTCATAAAAAATAAATATTAATTTCTTATCTATTACAACTACAGCATTGTTCTACCACCAGTACGTCCAACTTTTGAATTTAATATGGATTCATGGGACAGTTCTATCAACAGACCTGGGATCCCTCCAGGTTAAAAGTCTGAGCATTATGACACAGAAGCATGACATCTTCCTCCAGATCTTCCACGCTTCTGTACTTGTGGTTACGGACACGTTCCTGAAAACACAAGTCAACCCCCCAGAGTTTAGCATTTGCAGTAACCATCCAATATATGTGTGTAAATGTAATTTATTGTATATATATAAACTGAAAATTGTATATATGAATATATAAAATTTATAATTATTCTATAATATCTCAATAATTGCTTCTCTAATGTATTTGGACTATGGAAATAATAAAATATTCTATTGCCAAGACTGGAGGAAAGCTTCAAGTCAGTATTGATTCAATTCATTATTGGTGTTGGATGGACCTTTATCTTTCTGAAGTCCACAGGCTTTCTTATCAGCTCATAGTATTCCGGCAGTTCTTTTCTGGAGGGCAACCGGACAAAAACTTCACTGAGCTTTCGGCCAGACCTGAAATGAATAAAAAAAACATACTATGCGAATCAGTACAGCTAGCATAAATGAATCTGATGTTCTAAGTGTTAGGGTTAGATGTCACTGAGGTTATACCAATCGAGTTGCAAAAAGACTGAGTGGCAGTGTTATAGTTCAATTTGGATACCACAAAATCACAGCTAAAATGGGAAAGAACGATTGCACAACAGCTCTTTCCCATTTTAAATAGAAATCAGAGCTGTCTTTTTACAGATTGCTGAAAACTTCAGTGCAATACGCAGAAGCAACTGGTATCCAGGCTCTAAAACGTGAGTTCTAGTTTGGGTCAGTTATGTTGGATTTTAAGTTATATACTGTATTGACTACTCATCAATTAAATATTTAATAGTCTTGTGTTCTGCTAACAAAGTGGGGGATGGTATTAGCTATCCAAGATAAAGCTGGTTTTCCTTATAAGGGGCTACTCCACAAAGCAAGTGCAGATGGCCAAATGTCTTTAAAAGTTTCTACAAAATACGTTGTCAGGAAACCCAATTCCAGGTCACATATCAATGTCCAGGGTCCACTGGTCCTTTGGAAGTTAAATGGTTCCCTGTCGAGTTCAACTGCCTTCAAACAGATAATCTTTTGTTGCACAGATTCCCCGACTAAAATCAGCCATGTTTGCCACTCCATTCATCTGAGGTGGCATGTTCTGGCAGGAAAGTGACGTTACTGCAAACCCTCTATGGAAATTATTCTGAATTAAATTAATATTTTTCATATTAAAATCATATTAAGCAAAAGTTCATCAATAAATTAAAATTATGAGTAGAATATTGAAATAATAAAACACATTTCAGTGCATTCATACATTACTTTATAAGCATCTTTTTACTGTTACACCATTAAGATGCAAATATCTTTGTTTAAGATTATTCAGGTTAAACTGTATTCCTGCATTCCTGTCTGATGTTGCATGAAGCTGATATACTTGTCAGAGATCCACTTATTTAACTGTTATGAGGCCTAAAACTAATTATTCCCGGTACACACACCAAAATGCTAACATTAAAAGGACTGGCAGATATGGTCATAAGACAGTCGTCTGTTTTTAAAGCAGTTTGGCCCAGAATTTCGATGATACAGAATATACCTGTCAGCACTCTTATGCAATAGCCCTGGGTATAGCTGGTGCCATGGCAACATAGAACAGCACTCCCGTTAACAATTATTCAATAACGGTTTATTATTTAATAATGGGTTTCTTCAAATTGCGATCCTAAAAACGAACCATGATTACCTGGCTGAATTATAAAAATAATAATTATATTTTTGGACAAAGCATTTGTTTGATGGGATTATGTGTGTCTGACTGAAAAGCCAAGTTTACCAAGATAAATTTCCCTTTTTGAGTGCAAAAATATTTAAATCCAGGGGACCTTCTTCCTCAGGTCATAAACCAATGATTTTTGTAAGAGAGATTGCAGCCAATGTCTTTATGTAACCCATTATTATACAGTACACTGCTCAAAAAAATTAAAGGAACACTTTGAAACCACATCAGATCTCAATGGGAAAAATTATTATGCTGGATTTCTATACTGATATGAACTGGGTAATGTGTTAAGAATGAAAGGATGCCACAGTGTTCGATGGAAATGAAAATTATCAACCTACAGAGGGCTGAATTCAAAAACACCCCCGAAAATCAAAGTGAAAAAATGAAGCGGCAGGCTAGTCCATTTTGCCGAAATTTCATTTCAGCAACTCAAAATCGTACTCAGTAGTTTGTATGGCCCCCACGTGCTTGTATGCATGCTTGACAACATGTCCTAGGGGATCTCCTCCCAGATCTGGACCAGGGCATCCTGAGCTCCTGGACAATCTGAGGTGCAACCTGGTGGCATCGGATAGACCGAAACATAATGTCCCAGAGGTGTTCTACTGGATTTTGGTCAGGCGAACGAACATTCAATGGTATCAACTCTGCCATCCTCTAGGAACTACCTGCATACTCTCCCCACATTATCGTGCAACAGGAGGAACCCAGGACCCACTGCACCAGCGTAGGGTCTGACAGTGGGTCCAAGGATTTCATCCCGATACCTAATGGCAGTCAAGGTGCCATTGTCTAGCCTGTAGAGGTCTGTGCGTCCCTCCATGGTTATGCCTCCCCAGACCATCACTGACCCACCACCAAACCGGTCATGCTGAACAATGTTACAGGCAGAATAACATTCTCCACAGCTTCTCCAGACCCTTTCATGTCTGTCACATGTGCTGAGGGTGAACCTGCTCTCACCTGTGAAAAGCACAGGGTGCCAGTGACGGACCTGCCAATTCTGGTATTCTATGGCAAATGCCAGTCGAGCTCCATGGTGCCTGGCAGTGAACACAGGGCCCACTAGAGGACGTCGGGCTCTCAGACCACCCTCATGAAGTCTGTTTCTGATTGTTTGGTCAGAGACATTCACACCAGTGGCCTGCTGGAGGTCATTTAGGGCTCTGGCAGTGCTCATCCTGTTTCTCCTTGCACAAAGGAGCAGATACCTGTCCTGCTGATGAGTTAAGGACCTTCTACGGCCCTGTCCAGCTCTCCTAGAGTAACTGCCTGTCTCCTGGAATCTCCTCCATGCCCTTCAAACTGTGCTGGGAGACACAGCTAACCTTCTGTCAATGGCATAAATTGATGCGCCATCCTGGAGGAGTTAGACTACCTGTGCAACCTCCATAGTCCTACTATTCAAATCACGGTCCTCGAGGTCCGAGCACTGCTGGTTTTCCAGCCTTCCTTTACCTGTCAGTCAGGTGTGAAGCCTCTGACCAATCAGAATCAGTAATTATTAAACTAACTACCTGGGAGAACTGAAAACAAGGCCTGGATTTGGAATCGAGGTCCAGATTTGAAGAACCCTGCTCTATAGGGTCCAGGTATCACCTCGTGCTACCAGTAGTGACACTGACCATAGCCAAATGCAAAACTAGTGCAAATACAGTCAGAAAACATGAGAAGGGTAAATGCCAGTGGCCCTCACCTGTTAAACCATTCCTGTTGGGGGTCGTCTCATTGTTGCCCCTCTAGTGCAGCTGTTGTTAATTTCATTAACACCAAAGCAGCTGAAACCGATTAACAACCCCCTCTGCTGCTTAACTGACCAGATCAATTTCCCAGAAGTTTAATTAACTTGATGCTATACTCTGATTAAAAAGTGTTCCTTTAATTTTTTTGAGCAGTGGCCAAATCACTTTGGTCAGATGATTGGGTCAGAGCATCTCCATAATGACCAGGCTTGCGTGGTGCTGATGGTCAGCAATGGTGAGCACCAACTGAGAGTGAGTGAACGAAAGCTGTCCCATGTGGTACCAACCAACAGAAGGGCTGCTGCAGCACAAATGGCAGATCATTTTGATAATGTTCATGGGAGTCACAACACACAGTGGATGAATCCCCTGCTACATATGGGCTTGTCAGTTCAACCAAATGTTAGCTTAGCTAATATATCTCACACCATAACATGAACGGTTTTTACTAAATAGTCAATATTATTTGCTTTACAAGGGGGCAGAAATAATGTTTTGGCTTATCGATGTTACATACATCACATTCAAACATTGACTGCGGTTTCATAGAATTCACTGAGTGTAATTTTAGAATTATTATACTTATTTAAAGGGGCAGTGATGCCGGGTAGCTTACATGATTATGGCTTTACTAAAAACAACTTACTGTCTTAGTCTTACCCATCTTTGTAGTTAATGACAGTCTCCACAATGGCATTCATCTGCTTGGTAAGTTTTGGAGGGTTAGGGGGGAACTTTTCAGCCGGGGGTCGGCCACGTCTTTTTTTCACTATTTCCCCATCTTCTTTCCTCATTTCCTTGACAACGTGCCTCCTGCGCTTTCGCTTCTTTAGACGGACCTCCTCCATTTCCTCTAAGTTCCCACCTTCAGACTCCTGTGTAGAAATAATTTCAAACAATGGTTTATTACTTGGGATCTGTCTTTTAGATGTCAAGAAAATGTACTGTAATCTACTGAATGACAAATTAAAAAAGGAGGGTCTGTCAACCGTCAATAGATTGTATTCAGGTTTTTGTATAGAAAATAAACAAAACTTGTCTTACAAAATGTTTTTTTTGCATTATTAAACCTGTAATATCATGCCTACAAGTTTCTCCCATTATAGTTTTGGATTATTCTATTTTTTCTGAACCAAAAAATGCCACGAAAGCTTCGGTGAATCAATAGCTGACTTGACACTTTTATCCACCAAAGGCTACTTTTGTACTGCAGCTTCTACAGATCAAGGACGAGTCACATCTGTCACTGGTAGAATGTGGGAACCTTTGGATAACAAATCATTTAAAACTACTTGTCCAGAGGCCAGCTTGAATACCATGGCCAACTTAAATCATCCCATATCAGAGTCTCAGGTGAGTTACAACATTCCAGTGCTACAAGATAACCAGGTATAATCTGGAAACAACTTAAGTCATTCCTCATGAAACAGTTTGGAATCAGCTGCAACTGATTAATTTACTGGTAAGTCTATTCGTCACTTTTTTTTAAGAATATTACATTAAAAAGTAACAGTCCACATACTAGTAGTATAATTGTTAACAGTATTACATACTAATACTACATAAATTTAGGGTAAAATTAATATAACCTTGCCACTCTGGACAAGCAGTTAGAAGATGGATGGAATATAATTATACTCACAGAATTTAAAAGTTTGATTGGATACAAAAAAGGAAATGCTAGGTATGATGATATAGACAGAACACTGATAAATTGTTGTGCCTACAAAGACTGTAGTATTTTACTGTTATATTTTGTGGATAATATATGACTGTCGTTTTGTATGCGTTACGATGAATGACCAGTCTAATTAGTTGAGTCGCCACACAATTAAACACATACTCCATTTCCGGAGATAATCTGCAGAAGGCTGCGTTGTTTTGCAGATATATACATAACATAAACCGCTGCCACATCTGCATTTTGCTTGATCTGGCATACCTCAGTATGTAGCGAATAATGAAGGACAGACTTCATTTTTAGAAAGCATAAAATATTTGATTGCAACCACCCGCTGAATTTCATTATTATTTCAATAGAAAACTATAAAATACTAGGAAAAGACAAGAAGCATTCACAACTAATGGCTGAACATACTGACATGCTGAATTACAGTATAACCACAATGTGAAGGCGACTCGCTGCATTCCTGTAACAAACGACAATGACACTGTAGATTCTGATTATATGAAACACGATTTACTTCACCACATTCTTCAAGAGTGTTTAGTAATCTCACTATCTCTCTAAAGTTACTGCATTATAGAACATTCTTTCCGCAAAAAATCTCACAGCAATAAGCAAACGTCTTATATATCCATGCATATATATGTCTATTATAATAACCAGTATATGATGCAGTGCACTATAAATATGAAAATGCAAATAGTACAAAAAGACCCTTGACTTCAAGAGGCTTGTATTTCCAAAGTATAAAGTACTCTCAGAGTCCGTCATGCCTGCAGAATTAAATATGTCAAATATTCCTGAACTATGCAAAAAGATGAAATTAATCAGCCTGGCATTTCTTCTCAATCTTATTTCTTTTGTTCACGCAGAGAGGAGAGGCACCAGCAGCCCTTCCTATCTCCCTTCTGCAGACAGAACGAGCTTACTCTCCTAGATTTTTCATCTTCCACACTGCAGCACCACGGTAAACGCAGCTAGTGCATTTCCATTGCAGAGCAATGAAATAGCACAAAGACATTTTGTGAGGCTAGCATTAACAATACACTAGGCAGAGAGATGTGTTCTAAGAGAACTGCACCTAATATGACCAGTCCACCCGGCTGCAGCGAAAGGAAGGAGAAAAAAAAAAAACCCCTGAGCAGGGAGATTTAACTCAAAAGCTTCAACAGCCAGCCGATGCTTGAATCCGGCAAACAACAAATACATATCCTCAGGGATCTTGTGGGAGCAGGCCTAATAATCAACAGCAAAATCTCCATCATTCTCCGAGAGAATGCAGAATATTCCACAGCAAACGTAAATACCGGAGACGAGCGAATACGGCAAAGACGACAGGGACAGGAAAATCTGTTAATAATTGGTTGACTGCGGTAAGTTTAAAACGCTTCAAGCGTCTCCTCAGAGAGCTGCAGTTATTTTGGCTGAATTCCAGAGGATAAAGCATTATCTATAAAATAAAAAAAGAACTGCTGCATGCATTTTGTTATGTTCCATTTCTGTATAATCGCCACAAGTACAAGGCTGCCTTTACTGAGAATATATTTGATCTGTTGCACACTTACATGTTGTGTCTGTGATGTAGCCTCTCTAAATCCTGTGGATAAAAATAAAGAAGGATATTTACCTGACTGCAATCAGTAGGCCGGCTATCAGAAATCACAGTTAGTGGGGATAAAATTAACAACCCAGCAAAGCTGCGTGCAGCTAGTCTCTTCATCAGCTGATCAGTCAAACAGAGAGCTGGGGGAATGCTATGTTTTCAGATACAAGTAATTTTATCTTTTCTGTTTGAAAATTTAATACTGAATGAATTATCCGCTCCAGCTCTGCAATTTCATTCTTCTCTGTGCAAGGCCTGAAATCTTTCTCCCAAGGCTTCTTATAATATTGACAACCACTTACCAGTTTTTTTTTTCTTTTTCCACGTGTTTAAGCGGTCGGATCTATTTTTCTTTATTATTAGTATTATTTCGTTTTACATGCAGTTTCATTTGGCGAAACAGAGATGCCTGCTTTAATGCACACTTCAGCACTGCCCCATCTTAAAATCCAATCACTGCACAGGCAATTTGTCAAGCACAGCAACAAATAATGATGTAATGGTTGATGAAGTCTATGCTTACAATCATGCTGCAGTTGTTGAGTTATAATTGGGTGAAAAAAGCAAATATCTCATCAAACTGTGTGTGAGTAGTCATTTTTACTAAGAATTAAATAGGCTATATTTTCAATTACAATTCTATTAAGACACAAAATTCACACCTGTAGGAGGTACAAAATTAGCCTCAAAGTCAAAATTCACTTTGAGCAACTGACTGTAAATATCTCCATGAGATACTTTAACAGACCAGCTCCGTCCTAAAAATTTTTAATGAAATTGTGGGCGCAATCATAGCATAGCTATGTAGAAGTGCGAAATTCAGTCAGGAAAAAAATTTATGTCACACTTTTAAAAAAAGATTTGTGAAGATTTTGAGAAGAAATTGTTGTGTCTAAACTGCAGTCATTTTTGCACAGCTCTTTGCAGATTTGCAAAACTTCACATACATAAATCCCCAGAAGCTAGTGCCGAGGTAAGTGTAGCTATTTTTATGCACAAAGTAGCAATATGTCACGTGCATGAAAAATTATAGCAAATGGCACTTTTGGACAAAGAAAATAGTTGCCTAGAAAGCATAACCTAAGCCAATAGACATTTGGTTTCTTGGCAAAAATGCAGTAGATACATATGCAAGTTACAATAACAGGTCTGTTATTATACAATAAAATGTGTTTGGATATTATGCATTTCCACATTAACAGTGTAAATGGGCACACCTTATTTTACGTACCTTAACATTATTTTATTATGTATTTATATATTGTGGGCAGTATTATTGTAGAAAATAATTGAGAACAAAAGTAAAGTATTTGAGCAACAACACATTAACATTTTTACTTTTAGATCTTAATGATATTATTTCAAGTTCTAAATTGTATACTTATATGCTGGAGCTGAAATGTATCATTAGACACTTGTTATGTTATACATGTCTTATATATGTCTTCTTGTGCCTTCTGGAAATGTTTGACTGGTTTTGGAAACAGAATACATTATGTATGTGGTACACGGTAAATATACTTTGAACATAAACAATGTAGGCTTATTTCTGAACCATTCTCAAGCACTATTCTTAAAGAAGCCAATAAGGTGTAATTTTACATCATATTACAATGCTGGTGGCTTAAATGTGTGCTTCAATGCTCTTTAGAATCCATGGCATCATTTAATCCATTGTCAGTTTCCAAGCCTTGGTTGCACTTTCCCCATATCTTCCTTGTGTTACTGCTGGTATTGTGCATGCCTTACACACGATAATGTGATTTAGCTAGCCCTCGTACGTAAGTGTAGGCATGATTAAGCTACATGAGGAGCCTGGGGTCTAAATTCCACATCTCAAACATGCACATTATGTCCAACGATCAAGATAAGTCTAAAACCTATGACTCAAAAACAACAAGACCAGACCGAATTCACATGCCATAAACAAACTGCCAAATATACCGAAACCATTTAGCATTTAGCATGCAAACAATTCAGAGTGCAGCATAAATTCATCTTTCATTTCTTCGGTTGTTTCCATACATACATACATACATTTTCAAAAGCAATCAAGCTCTGAATTTGTATGCCTTCAAAGAACTGAATAAATTAAAGGCTTAAATTTGCATCTAATATATAAAAAAAGTGAATACAGGTATTGAAATTCAAATTATATTGTTTCGGATATGAATATAAAATTTTAAATAATATAAAAACACACAAAATAACAATTCAAATTAAAAGCAAATTCTGTCATTTTTGACACTAATCTCATTATATAGACTCCACATACTCCCAAACTTAATCTTATAGAGTATACATTGTGTTTACCACTAAGGCAAAACTTTTTTTCTTGGAAAAAAACAGTCTAGCATAATATGGTAACAAATATTGCTAAGGCCCTGAACAGAATTATCGTTCTAATCCCAGCTATGAACTAGCTACCGTAAAATAATTTTTCACACTGTACATTGTGTATACGTGGGCATGAGTAGTTGATTGTACACACAATGGATAAAATGGGTTCAGGGTGATACATTAGAAATCTATGAGGGAGAGCATATGCTGCTATGCTAGCACTATGGATATCGCTAGCAGAAGGCTCAAAGTAAACTGCATACCCTATGTAAGGTCATGTTATAAGACAGTTGATTTACCTGGATGATAAACTCACCTCATTAATTATTGTTTTATGAACAACTAAGTACATATATTCATGTTTCTTTTCCAAGCAAAGATCAAGTGATATTGGAGATCTGTGTGAAGGCTTTTGTCTTTGACTTACTAAGTCAATGACAAAGCAACCACATAGGACAGAGATAGTGAAAATTCAGTCAGTTTTTACATAATACTGACCTTTAACTAGAAAAGCCAAAGAGAGGATAATATAATATTTTCCGTATTTTGATAAGCCATTTTCACATTTCTTTGGCACAAGAAGGAAGAAAAAAAGAATTGAACAATTTACAAACAGTCACATACACGTATAGAGGAAGTGGCTCGATGAGTAGCAATACTACCTCATAACTTTAAGGTAAGGGGTTTGAACCCCAATTCCAATTTGGTTATATAGAGTTTACAAGTTCTATCCGTGATGTTGAATCCAAAAAATATACTTAAGCTATCTGATGCCTGTAGAATGTAATTTTTCATGTGTGTGCCCTATGATTGACTGGCATCATAACCCTGACTAGAGTAAGCAGTTGCAAGATGGACAATCATACATAATTTTGGGTAGAATTCTTTGACACACCTCCATGTCAAGTTATTTGCTTGTCAATTTTTTGGTAAACAAATTCAAAACTAAACATTACTGCAATCATTACAAATATACAAATGTGTACTCTATATAAGCGAAGCTTGCTGAAAGTAAAGAGATGGTACACATACTGGTATAAAGCGGCAGGTTATTACCCCGCTTTCACAATGATCGCTTCAGCATGAAAATTATGCTCTCAGTTATTTCTGTGAGATATTCTGATGCCGCTAGAAATGTATTATGTAAAAGTAGTATTATATTGTGGGTAGTCTTAAATCAGCAAATAAACGTGCTATACTTATATTACATATTTCAACATGCATTTGTCTAGCTACCTACATAGCAGTCATCAAGGTTCTGTGTACAGACTTTTCTCATCCACATATAGGCTACTAAGACATGATGTACCTGTAACCAGAATTTCTTCTGTGTTGGAAGCTCCAGAATCACCAGGGGTGGCAGCCACAGTTGTATCTACAGCCCTTTGTCTCCTCCTCCTCTTTGTCTCCAAAACAACATTCAGACTCCATTTTGTTTTCAATAATCCAGTACGGCAGCTCATTCTTCAACAAATGCACCTCATACTTCGCGTTCTTGGTCTCTCAGTGCTACCAGTTGCTATCCATTACCTGAAAAGAACCAAGTAATGCATTTTAAAGTCACACATGCAGTGGATTTATCTGGTCCATTGACATGTGTTACATCTTTGAGACTCATCTTTCATTTCTCCAAACACAATCCTAAATGACTTGTAATTGTTATTAATAAAATATTAAATGTATGTGAATATATAGACCAAATTAAGAAAATTATCCTTGATGTTTCTTTTTCCCCTTTTCAACTGAAACAAGTCCCCCTAAGGAGCATTAACATTAATGAAACAATTTTTAAAGAGAGAATTATTAATGTGAATTTGAATAATGTTTTTAAAATTCATCTCAGAAAAGATTAAACAGGTTCGAAAGCTAATTAAAGAAACATTGTGAAGAGGGAAGGAAAAAAAAAAATATATATATATATAGAGAGAGGGGGGGGGGGGAAAAAAATATATATATATATATATAGAGAGAGAGAGAGAGCGAGAGAGAGAGAGAGAGGAAAAAAAACATATATATATATATATATATATAGAGAGAGAGAGAGGGAGAGGGAGGGAGAGAGAGAATATTGTGTTCCCTACCTTTGAAAAGATTTAATGCATTTTTACCATGACTTAAAGATAACCATGTTTTTTTCATGTTGTGAAATCAACCTTGAACTGAAGCATGAAAACAGCATCCAGGTACAGGAGTTAACATAAAATAATAGCAAATTATTATTCTTGGTAATGTCATTTGTTAGTCTTTAATGTAATTTAGCACCATTTTATTTGTCAATTGTGAGTTTGAGTGGTTTTAAAGGTCAGTTCAGCATTTTTCACAACATTTCATAATATCCGTGAAAGAAAGCCCTTCATGGACTAGAATCGATTTTATCTTAAAGTACCCAGTTCCTCCTCTTTTCAATTCATCTTTTATTTCTATTTCTATTATGTATATGCATGCTATATTAAGTGGCTGAAAACCTTATTTTACTTGTATTTCACAAACATGTACAAAATTCTATAAATAACCACATGTGTTTCCTTCAGTGAAATATGAACATGTGGCCATTCACATTGATTTCCATACTGCATAGACCTGTGATCCACAGTAATTCCTCTGATGTTTGTTGCCATGACAACGGTAAATTAGTAGTGGATTTCACCCAGGGTAACAAATGAGAATTCTCTTTATATCTGCTGTGGCAGTGCTATACTGATTCACTACTCAAAATCCAAGGATAAGCTTGACTGTGTTCCTCACATATAAAGTGTAGAATAAAGGGCTGCCCTTTGACTCAGTGGATGACCTAGGTTACTGAATTCCATCACCCTGAATTTGTATGCAGCAACAGACAAAACAGTTAAATTGGCATATTTTAATAGCATAGACAACTAAACCTATACTACGATCTGTTGAATTATTATGATTTATTGGCTTATAGCATATTTTACTCAAGTTGCACAGTTTGCATACTCACACAGAGTCTTTTATGGTGCATCACTAACCGTACAAATCATGTTTACATAGTGCTTCTATTTAAAGGCACTATACATACTTAAGAGTATTTAACAATGCCAGGAGCCAAAATAACTCTCTCCCAGTACAGTACTACAACCCAGGACACAATACATTCATTTTCATAAGGCTAAAATGGCATGCTGTGTTGTGTTTTGATTCACAGCATTTAGAAAAGCACATGGAAATAGTATTAACATGGACGTATGTTGTTGACAGTGACAATGATCGATGTAACCATTCTTTTTGTCAGCTATTAAGATCTTCCATCTCATATCACTTTCATGAGGTACAATAAAATATTCATATTAAAATTTGCAGTTATTGCAGAGATGTTCACGTTCATTTTTACATGTCTCAAGCCACCACGAGCATTTTTAGCACAGCATTAATTATTCAGGTCACAGCATTCAAAAATCAATGCAACAAAGAAACAAAGGAAGGCTTTATCTGTTGACTCTATCTGGGAATAAATTACTTCATATATACATTTTGTTTATGTATGCATGCACCAGAACACTTTCTGAATAACTGACAACCACTAATTTAACAAATACAGCAGACACATAAAAAATGCTGCACTGTTTTTCATGTCAGTAGCTATATTTTTCACAAGCAAACAGCTAATGAAATCATGGCTTTCCCAAAGGTGACTGTGGTAATTAACTGCCTGTCCAGCAAATTGCGCATATTTACTTAACGTGAAATCTCCATTGCATTTAAAATCAGCTACATCAGACATTTTATGCAGATATCAGAATTCTTCTAATTCTGAGAATAACAACGATTGTCAGATGGAACATCCTCAAAATAATACAGTACATGCAATTAGTTTATAATTGATAATTAATTATCTATTGGATCCAACACAGGATCATGGTGACCTGGAGCCTGACCCAGGAAGTCTGTGGCATAAAGCAGGAAACACTCAGGTCAGAGTGGCAGTCAATCGCAGAGCACACATACACACTCTGGTCGATTTAGACACACAAAATCACCCCACATTTTTGGACCACAGGAGGAGACCAGAGTGAACTGAGGAAACCGATGCCAGCACGAAGAGAACATGCAACTTCCACACACAACGCCAGGGGCAATAGTTCTGAAGATGGTGCTAACCCCTTAACCACAAGATTAAAAATACATCTTAACTGCATCAATGAGCTTCTTAAAGTTAAATTCAACTTAGATATGTACTCATTTTAATTGTAAAATAGTATTCTGTGTTATATACATGGATTTAAAAATGCAAAATTTCTTTAACTCTAGAGTCAAAATATGATTGATTAGATAGCAAAAGGGGTTTATTTACACTATAAATTATAATTAAACTTAAATTTATTTAAAAAGAAAAAGATGTCCTTCCATTTCTGAAATGGGTAATATTAAATATAACCAAAAGGGGGCAGCAAGGACTAACAACTTATAAAAATTACAAGGATAATTTCCTGTTAAGAAGTTGTCAGTGAATAAAAACAGAAATCATCAAAATAATTGACTACACAGATTCAAATGCGTGAAAAAACATTTTTACAAAATTTCCGTAGCACATATCACAATCATAATTCCTTCTCATAGATACTTCGAAGAAATAAAGCAGGGTAATCAGGTGCTACCCAGACGAATCCGAAATAGTATTTATGAAAATGATTAGTCAGAAATGCTTCTGCAAGCGCCTGGTCTTTCTTTGGCTGCTATACTGTGATCCTGAAAGACACGCATCTCGATGGCAAAGAAGTGATGCATTATGGGAGGCAGTGATGTGCACACCCTGACAAAGAAATTACTCCCTGAATGGGGAATGGAGCATAACTATGACATTTCTATTAAATTCAGAATTTGTGAATTTACAATTGGATGCTAATAAATATGAATCATGACATACATTAATTCCATCTACCCCCTTTCTGAAACTTGTCCTTTTCAGGGTCGTGGGCGGTCCAGAGGCTATCCCGGAGGCGGCTAGGGGCACAAAGCAAGGAACGACCCAGGATGGGCTGCCAACCCATCGCAGACATATATGAATTTTTATATAAAAATCTGCCAGTAAATTCCACCCCACGCCACAAAAGAGCTGCCAACACACAACACGGAAAGCATTTAAAAGAAGAGCTCAATGAATTTTTCAAAATCACTTCATTCTATATATCAACATGATTTCGATATGTAGGCCTTTTTCCTGTAGTTGTAGGTAAATGATCTCATATATATATTTAAAATATTAGATAAAAACTTTGTGCATATTTGGACAGACTAACATCCCAAAATCTATGTCTCTTAAGTGGACCTAAAACCTGCCAGTAAATTCCACCCCACGCCACAATAGAGCTGCCAATACGCAACAGAGAGGGGAAAGAAACACTCGATCTTCTTTGGTATGTACTGCACATGTACTTGTCCACTTGTTGAGGATGAGTCATCTGACTGTTTTCCACTTCTCAGTGGACCACTGTCTGTGTCTTAACTCACAAAAAAGCAATTGTAATAATTTATTGTAATGTCAAAAGGGGTTTATGTTCTGCAACCCAAGCATACTATTCCTCTCTCAACACTCTACTTTATCAAAGTGCAGAGTTTAAAACTGGCATTTGGAGTCAACGAGCTCATCTGGTGTAACCTGAAATGAACATTATGGGGTATGTTCTTCATTTCACAGTTACTCCTAGATGATGATGTCTTTTCCCTCAACCAGCATCAACCTAACTAACCAGTGTTACACCAAGCGTCACTGAGGCTGTTTCCAATTAAACTGAAATCATTCAAGATCATTAAAAATCACTTTGATCTCGTCCTATAGGTCAGTCCTGATAGTCAAAAATAACAGGGACCTGAACCTGTCCAGCATTTTTATTCACAGCCCAACGCATGATGGGTTAATTGAATAATTGACTCAGAAAACATGCTCCTGTCGTAAGTAACAAAGACTAAAATGGTCAAAAGCTTTATACATATAAAAAATATTTTAAATTAATCATCAATTTTGGCATTTCTATATCTGAATAAAATTATTTAATCAAAATTACACAATAATGTATTTACTATAGTGATTTATACACTGATAAATCAAGTCTTTGTAATAGAATAAGTAAAGTTCCAAGACCCAGGTTAGTTGATGAATGAATCGTTAATTAACAGATTAACTGTATAGCTGTACATATATGCCATGTATGTATATATACATATAACACAAAACAGTGACAAGCAAGACATCTACAGTACATATAATATAGATGTAACTTATATAATTATATAATAGATGCAAAGTTAAATAGTGTTTATTTTTGAGCAAATACCCTCATACTGAAGATACCTTTAAACATAATTGTTTTTAGTAGCTATATACACACATACACACACACACATACAAATACATAAAAACACACAATTGTAGGAAAGCCGTTGTGTCATGTGACACAGAAAGCTTTGTTTGTGTTAGAGCTCTGAAAGGGAAGATGGCACGTCTCCAACACAAGAAAAACACGAACATGTCTTCTTGCATCAAACAAAACATTGCCATTTTGATGGGGGGG